TTCAATAGACTCCAAATTGGGTAGGAATTTTCTGTAAGAGATGTAGAAATAATATAGGAACGAATTTTACGATAGCTCACCTCACAGGGGTTTGTGGGGGTGGGTATTAACAATTAAAATTTTTAATTTCCAAGCTATAGCTCCTATAGACTTCAAATTTAGTAGAAATCTTCTATATGTGATATAGAAATGATCTAAGAATGGATTTTACAACGAATCACCTCCATTAAGGATCGCGGGAGTGGGTGTTGACAGTAAAAAATGTTCATTTCCAAAATATAGCTTCTGAAAACTCGAAATTTGGTAGAAATCTTTTATTTCTCCTGTAAAGATCATCTCAAAATGGATTTAAATAAAGTTTCCTTCCGATAGAAATTGCGGGGGTGGGTGTTAAAATCTAAAATTTTCGTTTTCAAACTGTAACTTCGACAGACTTCAAATTAGGTGGGAGTCTTCGTGTATCATGTCAAGTTCAGCTAAGAATGGATTTTATCAAATTCCAACCCCAAAAGGGACTGCGGAGGCGTTAACAATGAAAATCTCTCTTTTCAAAATAATAGTTTCTATGGGCTCGAAGTTTTGTTGGAATATTTTATTTATAATGTAAAAATCATCTCGAATAGGATCTTACGAAATTTCTCTCTCACAAAGGAGTGCGGGAGTGATATAGTTGTCAAAAAATTCATATTCTTTAAATATATTTTCTACAGATATAAAATTTCATAGAATCTCAAGAGAAACAGGTAATTACAGGGATGGCCTCCAAGGTCAACGGATTAAAATATTTTCCTTTTTTAATAATTATATTTTTTTTACAACAATCGTCTCTTTGGCAGCGGTGAAAAAGTTATTGTAAGATTTCTAAAATTTAATTTTACATGTAACTATATAGTCAACGGATTGAGTATTTTGCATACATTTTATTATTGCTGATCACATAACCGATGAATTGTTCTTATTACGTGATCACGGGAATGTAACAGATTAAAATGAATACATTTTCTGAACACTTGAGATGTGGAAAAGAAATTTGGCTACTCATTTTAAGAGATTTAGTAAAATCAAATATTAAAATCGTAAATCCAAAAATTATTATTTATTTTTGGAGAAAGCCACGGGAATGTTATAGTGATTGCACATTGAAAGTTACAATGGATATTCGCTAGAATGATGACATGGATAAAAGGTTCAGGCCAATCCAATAGAATTTGGAATCTGTGCAAGTCAAAACAATACTCCGATTGAATTTCAAGTCTAGATCTCAAAATACAATTCTATAAAATACCCAGCGGAGCTGGCGGGTGACAGCTAGTAATAATAATAAAAAAGTAACTTACTGAGCAACGCCGATTTTAACTTTTAGACTATAAAGAACTTGTTGAACCTTCAGCAATGCTCCTACTAAATCATTAGATCGTTTTAACATCGCAAATCGTTTATTAAGCTTCTCTTGATTTTTATGTCTGTTAGTCAAGCTGAAAAAAAAAATTTCAACTAATAACTAACATATTATTACAATAAAATTTATTATTACACTGAAAATTTGTAATAAAATTTTTTATTACAATAAAATTAATAAAATAAATAAAATTACCTCGGCAATTTTCCTTCTTTAATCCAATCTTGATCATGTGCGTATTTTTTCGATGGCCTCTGACGATAAGAATTCTGGCAAATAAAACAAATATATTTTTCCGGAACATCTTTTTCACGTTCAATAGAATTACAATGCCCGTGCTGCCAGCAAAGACACAAATCACATTGTATCATTAGTCCATCTTCTTCGACGACTCCGCAAGTACAATTTATTATCTCTTCGCGCTTTAATTGTTCGACTTTAACCATCTCGCCATTTATCATCATCATCATACATTCTCCATCTGTCAAACAAAATATAATAATAATGCTATAAATATAAATATTAATTAATTTTAATCAATTACATAAAAATTAAATAATAATTATACTACATAAAAATTAAATAATAATGATTAATGATTAATGTACTCCTACTTTTATGATACCAATGAACCATATGATGAATAATGAACGAAAAAAAAAAAATATATAAAATATTTATAATTAAAATTTATTATCAATATATCACGTGTAAAAAAGGAAAGGACGCATTGAGACAGTTTAGTAGGGATTTATGCTAAATATAATTGTTGTCCTACAACAAAGAATAACCCAGTAGAAAAAATCACTAACGAACCACCACCAGGACAGAAAAAAATCATACGTCTTTTTAAAATATTAAAAAAAAAATAATAGATACTTTTGTTGAGGTAGGGGATATGTTAAATTATTTAGAACTTACTCTGACTGTTATCGTCGCTCTTAGAATCAGATTTTCTACGACTGAATCTATACACTAGTGGTGAAGGTCCATCGATATCCATTGCGCTGTCATCTAAATCCCCATAATCATCCGTAAGCTCCTGTATGCCTGATAGCAAGAATTAAAGCATGATTTTGCCTACTTTTTACCATACGATCACAAGAAAATACGTTTTTTTTTTTTTGTTTTTCTAACATAGAGACAAAGACAAAGACACATGATTGGAGCGTTCCGTTTAGGGTGTGAATTTTTTTATAGTTCTTAACGACAGACACGCAAATACAAATACACTATCCACTATAATTAATGACTGTGATTTTAATGACAGCTAGTGATACGAATAAGCGAAAAATGATTTTTTTTACTGATCAAAATTGTATTGATTTAATTAAAAAAATTGTAATATTTAAATTATTACTCAATTGTATTATTTTTTATCAATTATTTTTTATTAGTTTTTACAAACAATTATTTTGGTCAGTAATAAATATCAGATAGAAAAAAAAATTGTGATAGTGAAATTAACAGATGACAATTTTTTTATTTTTCCTGAAAAATAAACTAAGTTTAGAAAATTTTTGTAAAAAAATTACATCAAGAGATAATTCTGATAACTTTTAAAAAAGTATTTATTAATAGTTAACAAATATTTATGGACAGTTAATAAATATTTTGTTGAGAGAATTCGTTTGGCTTGCAATGTCATATGATATAAACATAATAAATAAACAGCCGATTTAATTTTTGCTTTTTCGATATTTGTGTATCTTATGCCATATAACATCACAGGGGACTGTTTGCCAGGGGACTGTTTTTTTTTTATCAAACTGAGAAAAATCAAGCAAACTATTTCAATACATTCAACTTTTCAAGTTCTCAATGAATGTTTACATTAATTAAAATAATATTAAGACTTATGGATCGAATTTTATAAATAAATTATAAATAAAAATAGTTGCCAGGGGACTGACGTTTTGAAGTGGCCCGACACATATTTCTAGCACAAACGGTGCTTTAACACTAAATAAAATGCCGATAAAGCGCTAACAGCCCTATGGTTATTAACTTAAAGCTAGTTAGGTCCTTATAAACCTTACAAAAGGTAAAATAACACGCTGGATTTTTTTTTTTGGCTTTGAACTTCTGGCAGAGGACTGTTCTTAAAATGCCTGGGACAAACTTTGGTTTAATGAATTTAATGAAACAAATTAATTTTCGGTACTTTTTATTGAAGAAGATTGTCAGTTAACTAATTAAGTTTATAAACATTATGGACCAAATTATATATTATGGACGAATAACTTAAAATTTAATCTCAAAGTTTTAATTTTGGAAATGGGACAGCCCAGGGGACTGTTATTTCGGTGGTTTACCAATTTATACCAAAAAAACCAAAATTTACTTCATTTTAGTTTTCAATGCTCCAAATAGAAATGTTTTTTTACTTTCGTAACAAATTTTTTTTACTAACAAAATAACAATTTTTCTAATAAAAAAAATACCTGGGACAGCAAAAAACATCCTTACAGAGAAATCACCCATTTATTAAATCCTGAATATTGTTTTTATATTCAGCATAATCCCTCAATAATTTTCTAAATTTTTTTTTTTTTAATTAATTTATTAAAAAAATTGTCTCTGAATTTCACTATCATAAAAAATTTTTTTTTCCATGCAACAAACTAAAGAATAAAAAAAAAAAAATATTTACCATGCCGTTTTTTACTTTTAGTTGAATTATCAGAACTGTACTCGGACAATTGCCTCTTGCGCTGTCCTCTATCAGCATTAAAAGTGTCATCAAGCGACTTGGAGCGATCCAGCCGTGTTGTATCCACAGAATTAGCCGGCCTTAAAGGTAGCAAAGTTTTAATCCCAGCTTGAGTTTTTTCTTCCCTAGATTTTAGATCAAAAAGCGTGCCGGGCGACATTGCACAGCTGCCGTCTGATTTTTTCGCCATTTCATCATCAATATCTAAAGAAGCGTTCGAGCAAGGTGACATTAAGTCGGACTTTATGTCATCTTTAAGTCCGTTCATCGGATGGTCAATCTGAGACATATCAGGCGAGGCTACAGACAGTGGAGAAGACGCAGCAAAAGATTGATGGGCCAAAGGAGTTGAAAATTTATCAGAGTGGCTCTTCCTTTTGTCACTTCGGCTGATTGTTGGCTTGTCGACGTAATTACTGTTTGATTTTTTGGGAGTTCCGTCGATAATTGGCTCACCTATTGTTCGTGCGTACGCCAAGTCCGCGACATTTGGTGTGGATCCGAGATACTTTGAAAATTCAGGGTGATAGTGCTTTATGTGCATTTGAAGGAGATTTTCTTTGCGAAAAGTCTTGGAACATCCTTCCTTGGGACATTTGTAGGCGCTGTCCTCCATTTCTACTCTTAGTCCTCCAATAAAAACTGCTGTTAATTATAAACAAAAAAAAAATAAATAAAATATTAGTTTAAAAAAAAAAATTTTTAGATTTTTTTTTTATAGTGCGATCAATTTTATATTAAAAGTACTTACAATAAATCATTCCTAAAGTTAGCAATGAATAAAAAAAGAAAAATTCTCAAGAACAAGGATAGTTTTACAAGTGGCAAAAAGGTAAAAGGGCGCATTATTTTTATTTTTAGAAATGGACTGGTAGACATATTTTAAGTATAAAAATTAAACATTGAGATCTTGAAGCTAAAGGGACGTATGTATTTAATTAATTAATAAATTTATTTATTTATTGGTATATTTCTTAAATTATAAAATAAAATTGTAAATTTTTAAATTCTAAAATTTTGGCTCGAAAATTGCACAGAAATAAATAATTATCCACACTTATAATTTTATGAATTTTTTTATTTTACGATTTAAAGCTAAGAGGGCTTAGAAAATTTTTTTCTGAAGTTTTTAATAAAATGCTTATTTGAAGCTTAAAAATTATACGAATAATATGGAGTAAGGAGGATTTAAACTGTACGCTCTTTTAAAATTAAAATTAGAAAAAAATTAGAGAATAATTAAAAAATCAAAAAATGAATATTTTTTAATTTTTATAAGAATTATTAAGATTTATGGATTACGCATAATCAGAGACAATAATAAAAAATTTTTTTCAATGAAAAATTGATATTTTAATTTTTTAATTATCTAATTATATTATTAAAAGAATAAGAAAAATTTTGTGACCAGGATAGTCATATGATAAAATCGGTTTTTTTAGTGTCATTACAGAGGTTTTGACTTGAATTTATGCCTTTCTAAGGTTTCATATCATTTTCAACGATAATAAATTTATTATAAGTATTTAAGCTACATTCAAAAATGCTCTATCTCTAGATACATAATTAAAGAATAACCTTGTATCTTGTGAACTATTGACACTTTTAAAGATATAAGCTCATCCTGATGTTACGCTCATTGAGACCTTTCATTTGAGTACCCACATCAATTTTTCATATATTTTATATATTTCACAAATATCATATATATAAAATATACAAAATATATAAAAAATGCATGTGGGGATTCAAATGAAAGGTCTCGACGAATGTAACATCGTAATGAGTTTATATCTCTAAAAATATCAATAATTAAAGAATGACATCGTATCTTGTGAACTATTGACTATTTTAAATATATAAGCTCATCCTTGTGTTACGCTCACCGAGACCTTTCATTTGAGTACCTACATTATTTTTTCATATATTTTATATATTTATATATATTACATATATGTATATATGAAAAATATATCAAAATACATGTGGGTACCCAAATGAAAGCTCTTGATGAATGTGACAACGGGATGAGCTTATATCTTTAAAAAAGTCAATATGTAAAAAAATACAGTGCAATTAAACACAAGTCATTATTTAATAAAACAAAATGTCAAACGAAATGTCAGACTGCAAAGTTGCTAGTTTAATATTAATGAATTTTGATAAAAAAAAATGTCATAAATAAAAGAAAAATTCAGTCTTCTGAATTTTATATTTAGAAACTTCTTACCTGCCAAACTGAATAATTATTTTAATTCCATTTCTTATAATAATTGAGCTTTGTATACTAGACTGTTTTTGGATCTAACTTGTAAAACTATTTGCCAAAATTTTGTATTAAATCTTAAATTTTTGGGTTCGATTTATCCCATTTTTTTTTTTTGCGCCCTTTTACCTTTTGACACTTGATTTAAAAATTAATAAATAATATCAAAACTCACCACCAGTATCTTCAACAGGCGTAGCAGGAACCGGAGTAAGATAACTAGGAGTTACCGATGTTAGTAACAAATCATTCGTCGCAGCAGTTTTACTTTTAGGCAAAAGTGTTTTTATTTTCCTAGCCGGTTCATTGGTTGCCGAGGAAGTACCAGCACTTGCACTAGAATCTAATTTTTCTTTAGCAACAGCTGGTCTTTTTCTGCGATGCACACAAAAATCAAATTTATTTGGATCAAAGTTACTGAGCCGTTGGGTGTCGAAGAAAGCTCTCAAGTCGCTCCTGGACCTGAATTTTTTACTGGAGGCTTCATGAAGAAATACAGCGTCCCATTTACCAGCTGAGTTACCAGTTTTTCTTTGGATGAAATGCTTCTGCCATCCAGGTGGCAATTTTTTGTCAGGAATTAATATAGATCGACGTGACCCTTCATTACCATCTACGACAAATGATTCAATACCCTGAGGTTCACCGTCGACCCACTCTGGTCCACCATCATCATCATAATCAACCACGACTTCGCGTTTTCTCTTTGCGCCATTCCTGGGCTTGGGTTTTGGAGTCTCAATTGGAACTTGCTCCAAGATAGATTCTTCAAGTTCAGTACCAGCTGCATCTGTACTTTCGTTCATGCTTTCAGAATTGTTCAATTGTTCTGCATCAGTTAAAGAAGTGTCATCTTTTTTGGTCAGTGATTGGTCAACTCCGTCCAATTTAGTCCTTTTTTTGTGTGAAAATAAATCTTTCACTGTGTGTTTTCTGCTCTTATCTCTTCGCTCTTGCTTGCTGCCAATGTATGCATCTGTCTCCATTCCCTTGGATGGATTCTGTTGGGTTTATAATTTTATTAATTATTATTAAGAATAATTATAGAGAAAATAGAAAATAAATTATTATTTATTTATTTATTTATTATCTATATTATTAAGAAAATCAGAAAAATTTTATGTCCAGAATAGTCATAGGATAAAATCAATTTTTTTAGTGAAAAGTCATTGCAATAATCTTGATTTGAATTTGTGTCTTTTTACGGTTTAATATCATCCTTAATGAAAGTCAATTTATTTAGGCTACATTTGAAAATTCTAGATCTCTAGATACATAATTAAGAAATTACCTTGTATCTTGTGAACTATTGACATTTTTAAAGATATAAGCTCATCCCGACATTACACTCATCAAGACCTTTCATTTGAGTACCCACATAAATTTTTCATATATTTTATATATTTATATATTTCACAAATACTATGTATATAGAATATATAAAAAATTCCATGTGGTTACTCAAATGAAAGGTCTCGATGAGTGTTATATCGAAATGAGTTTATATCTTTAAAAATGTCAACAATTAAGAAATGACTTTGTATCTTGTGAACTAATGACATTTTTGAAGATATAATCTCACTCATCGAAATCTTTTATTAGAGTACCCACATCAATTTTTCGATATATTTATATATATTATATATATGTATATATGAAAAATATATAAAAAATGCATGTGGGTACTCAAATAAAAGGTCTCGATGAGTGTAACATCA